CGTAGTTAGTATAGTAGAGTAGTAGAGAGACGACGACGTAGTACGTACGGTCGGTGGACGGGGGGGGGGGGGGGCAAATTTGTGGTTAGGATAGGAATATACCTAGTTACTGGCTTAATTAAATATCGTAGTCTTAATGCGTTATTGATAGATTAATTTCATAGGAATATAGGCGTTAATCTATTTTGAATAGGCAAGTAGTACTTCGGCAGAAGGCTATGAGAGCAATTATCGATTACTTAGCAACCATGAGTGAATTGTATGAGAGGGAGAGTTAACTAGAACACAATAGGAATGGTGAATCGATCACAACCTTGGAATATTTGTCTACATTGAATACATAACAATCATTTTACTGCTTGATAATGTAGCTATTACTTAGAATTATAATTTAGTATAATCACATTCTTGAACTTTATTTTGGCTTGATTAAATAGCAATTTGGTGATTTTAGTGGGTAGTTGATACAAGTCTCCGTGGGTTCGACACTTGACTTATCATTTTATTACTTGTACGACCATGTACTTGCGTGTGCGTTTGGGAGCAACAATGAGGTATTGTTGTTCTTTGATCAAATTCCTTCGTTTTTATATAGCTTCCAAATGATAATATATATTTTTCTCTATATATCCTGATAGAAGTGGGATAGGTATGTTAATGACGATGAAAAAGGAGGGCCGGAAAGGAGCAAACATATCTATGGTCGAATTGAAACCTTATATTTAAGTGATGTATGATGAAATATTGAAATTACAACCACTGGGTTACAATTAATGAAATTCCTAGTAGACATATATTCTTAATGTACTTATTCTTATAGTCCCTCTATCCCGATTAATGTGTGATCTGATTATATTTGGAAAGACTAGCTCTTTAATAGTTCTAAAGGCGGAGAAAATGTATAATTTTTGAATCATCCATACATTGTTACAATTAAAGTATGTCCAAAAGGAACCTTTTTGATGGAGTAATATATAAGTGAAAGATATGGAAAATTAAGTATACAGAAAATGTTATGATTTGCTAAAATTAAAGACAATTATTCAACCTAAGTAATACTCCCCGTAAAAAATGTGAAGTATTTACATGCCTAGTGCTGTTATTTTGATCAGCTGTAACAAGTTATTAGCTCTCATTTACAATGTTACTAATCGTTCCTAGTGCAATCAATTACTTCGAATTGGTTCATGTGATCCGTTTGCATAAATATTTTTTGACAATATCACTATAGAAAGGAGTTTTTCAATCATCGAAGTGCCATTGTTTGCACTACATCAAAGTAGTTTAAATTGTAGCTGGAGTTGCTCATGTGGAACCGTACAAGTAGACAAAGGTTAATAACAGAGCTTCGTAGAATTCACCAGACAGTCAACATATAGTACTTTAGAGAGGAAATAAAAAGAAAGAAGAAACAATGCAGATAGGAGCAATTCGTCACTTGCAAATGGTAGGACAATCAGAAAAAAAACATAGTGTTTTGCAGATCATGGTGGACATTGTAGTGTTCTGCTTTACCGGATGCTTCTGCAGACTTTGTCTTCTCCATAACCACCTCATGGAACAGCCGTCCCCTGAAGGCAACAAGGTCTGCGTAGAAAATTGGTGGAACAAGTTTAACCGACATTGGAAAATACGCCAATGTGAAGCATATCTCGTACACCAGCTTCTGCAATTGCTGAAAGCCGAAAGCGTTTTCATCCAAGAGAACATGATAGTGAACTGGCCTGCTAGTGCCTTTATCATTAAAATGGCTGCAAAGATAGAAATTAACAATAGATGCATCAGTAATTACTCTGTCCACAACAGTACCCGGAGGCACATTGCCAAGGGCTCCCATGGTAAATATGCGAGTAAGGTGTCTTTTCTGAGCCACAACAACAGTGATGCATGGTCTATAGTTATCCTTGGAGAAAGCCATCCTCAAATCATCCAACTACTAGTTAACTACCATACTAAACTGACTCTTACCCACACCAGCACGGAAAATAACAATTCTGTTTGGCTTAACCAATGACGTTTTATACTTTAATACCACACAAGAGGGGTGATTTGTGTGGTGACCAATTTTTCGCTTAAACTAATTATGGAAGGACCTGGTTCTTCTATATGTTCCTTCTGCTACTATTGCGGAATAATAAATCTAGAAAGTAAAGAACACAAGTATTTTTACGTGGAAAACACCTGGCTCAAAAGGTGAAAAAACCACGACCTATTACTCAGTAGGATTTTCCCCAACACTTCACTAAATTAGTGAGCCAAAATAGCATTTACAAAACTCTTTGTAAACCTAAGGATTACCTCTAATCCTGTTGTAGCCCATAGCCTCTAACTGTTGCGACAACTTCAAGTTAACTCTAATTACTTGAATACTCTGATTACCTATTACAATTTCCTCTAGATAAAGCTGAAAGGTACAATATAAAATACCCACTACAATTGAACTAGAAATAAAGAAAGACACATAAAACTTTTATGGAGTTGGTTCTTCAATCTGGTTCATGTAGCTTCAGGTTTGCACACTTGAATCACACACGAACTGCTTGCGAAAAGCCTTGCTATTTTTCTCTCAATTCACGTTTAACTTCTGCGTTTTTCTGTAACACATGTAATGTGAGAACATCTTGCAATTTATAGAGTTACTAGATGAAGAAATAACTAGAGTTCTGATGCAACTCTTCCTCGGTGGAAGAGTTCTAGTTTATCTCAACTTCTAACTCCTTTCCTATTTTGGATAATATTCTCTTTGAGTAAGGATTCCTTCTCCTTATCAATTATGCAACCTTTTAGATCAGGAGATATTAAATACACCAAGTTAAGCTTATCTCCTTCACGTGCATCCCACATGTTCGAATCTGCCCATTTTTGTGCACCTGAGGGATGGACCTGGTTCATGCCTGAGTTCCTTTGTTAGTCTTCAAAACAAACCTTTACTTATAGAGCCTTTACTTGGGCCAACAAATTCTCCCTTTTTAATAAAGACAAACACCGTGCTTTTCATAAGCTTAGGCCTTGTTTCAACTCAGCTCACCATCAACACAATGTTAGAAATATTTTTCCTTTTTATCACTTATCATCAAGGACCAAGTACATTAGGTTATAAACATCACTGTTCAAGGTGTAAAGCACAACCTTTTTCCCCCTTTTGGCATCATCGAAAAATTGCATAAAATGAGAGATCACCAGATTTTAAAACTTACTCATGGCCACTGGGGCTATTTCAAATGCAATCATGGATTAATCATCATAGATTAAGCTAAGAATTTTAACCATCAAAGAAATATAAACAAACAGTTAGAGCAAACGACAGTGAATTTCATTGATGATTGATAAGATTCTACCACAAAGCATAAGAAGAAATAAAAATATTGGAAACATGAGCAAAAACAACAAAAATTCCCGAACTGGGTCACTTGTTGATCTACACTAGGCTAGGAGGCTTAAGGCTGCGAAGAACTAGGTGCTTGGTTTTTGACTTGGAGGAGTTTCAGCATACCTTGAAGAATGCCATTATTCTTCTCTTTTTCTCTTGCCAGCTCAGTTCTGAGAGCATCTCTCTTAGCCTCCACCTCAACTAACATCTTCTTCAACCTTTCAATCTCAACATCCTCAGCCCCACTTTCTTGCACCAAGGCTCTGACCTTGCTATTTACTGGTACCTTTTTGGATGAACTAGGTTCTTCAGGAGTGACATTACCTTCATAATCACAAGCAAGCAGAGTATTAACCCAAAAATGATCCATGCTTGTAATAACCTCCCATGTTTTCATAGGTACTTTAAAATGTGCAAGCACCGTAGTGAGAATGAAGCCATAGGGAATGGTGTGAGTTTTGGTGCCATTGATAACTCTATCAAGAAGCTGGATTATAGCTTTTAGTCACTTTCTTCAGCAGGCCTGCGAGGGTTTCCTCTACCGAATAACCGGGTTCATCTCCCCAAACAACCATTGCACCTGCGTCTTTGGTTAAACTCACAGGAGTGGGTGAAGAATCAGCCACTCTTGTCCCCTTTCCCCTTACAGTACTTCTAGCACCCTTGCTCTCCTTTGTTTTTAACACCAACTTCTCCAGATTCTGTAGTCTCAACACCTGCTATAGATCCTAAAAATCTTCTCCAATTTTTGCAGCAACTTTAGAAATTGTCTCAGGAGAAACTTTAGAATCAGAAGATACCTGTTTAATTTCGGAAGAACCACTTTCTTCCCCCTGAGTAGCAAACTTAAAAGAATTTAGGTAGTTTAATACGGTCAGGAGTCTTGAACGTAACTGGTTCACTTGTAATGGATAAGTTCAAAAGAGATTTGGTATTTGGTAGGACTGCTCATGATCCAAATATAGTTATTTTCGATTATGCAGAGTGTAGAAAACATACCTTGTTATCTTGATGAACCAGGTTCTTCACTGATAATTCTCTTGTGTAAGTCTAAATTTGCCAAAATAGAGAAAATATCATTAGAGATTAATGAGTCATTTAACACATGGAACAAGAGTATACTATGGAAGTATGAGACTGAGCAAGATTTAATCTAATTATACACAATTTACAGACTTTCTAACCAAAAAAATTTCAATTTTTTTTCATTTTTCTCGTTTAACCTTGAACTGGTCCTTTTAGGTGATCTTAATCATTCATAATTCCAACCCGTTCCTCTCAAATTGATCTCTACTTAAGGTTTTTGTGAAGATGTTAGCAATTTTCTTGTCAGTAGCACAAAACTCCACAGTGATCAAGCCTTTCTCGTAGTTGTTCCTCAAAAAATGGTGCCTAACATCTATGTGCTTAGTTCTCTTATGATGAACCGGGTTCTTTATCATACTAATAGCACTAGTGTTATCACAAAAAATAGGGATGCAAACAACATCAATTCCAAAGTTCAATAATTGTTTTTTGATCCACAGCAATTGAGTACAACATGAAGCAGCAACAATATACTCCGCTTCAGCAGTAGATAAGGCCACTGAATTTTATTTTTTGATAGCCCATGACACAAGACATGAACCAAGGAAGTGTGCCATACCTGAGGTGCTCTTCCTATCCACAAGAAAACCTGCATAATCAGTGTTAGCATATCCTACTAGGTTAAAATTACTACCTTTTGGATACCAAAGGCAAAGGTCAGTGGTGCCTTTCAAGTATCTCAATATTCTCTTTACAGTAGTCAAGTGGGACTCCTTTGGATTTGCCTGAAATCGAGCACAAAGGCCTACACTACACACAATGTCAGGTCTGCTAGCAGTGAGATATAAAAGAGAACCAATCATTCCCCTATACAACTTCTGATCAACAGATGAACCAGGTTCATCTATATCCAATTTCGTGGATGTTGCCATAGGAGTGTCAATTTCTTTGGATGTTCCTTCCTGGTTTTGTTACTGAGAAATAGGTTCATGGATAGGTTCCTTCGAGGTTTGATGATCAGTTCCTCTCTAGTCAGTTCCCCGTGTCATGTTGCCCTGGGTGGAAGGACCTGTTCCGTCACTTGTTCCCTCCCGCGATGCATCTTCAGGATGGACTGTGGTTTCACCATTTAAATTTCTTATCAGCCCAATCTCTTCATTATCTTGTTCCTGCCTCTCAGAAAGAATATTAGTTTTTAAAAAAAATAACCTATGCACTTTTTTATACACACACAGTTCTTATACTGTATATCTTGTAAGCTTTACTATGTGAAGAATATCCCAAGAATACTCCCTCATCACTTATGGGATCAAACTTTCTTAGGGAATATTTATCATCATTGCGAACAAAGTACTTGTATCTAAATACCCTAAGATGGGATATATATAGCTTTCTCTCTTTAAGTGACTCATAGGAAATCTTCTTAACAAAATTTAGTCATGCAACTATTTATGTTGTAGCATGCAAAAATTCAGCAAACTTAGCATTTTCAAATTCAGTTCCATGGTCAGACCTAATTGATGCAAGTTGATTACCTAGTTGTTTTTGAGTTTTTCTAACAAAAGAAGTAAGCATGTCAAATGTTTCATCTTTAGATGTTAAAAATAATGTTCAAGTAAACCTAGAGTAATCATTAACAAGCGCCATCACATATTTTCTACCACCTCTGCTTAATGTTCTCATTGGACCACAAAGATCCATATGGACCAATTCCATCGTTCTGGTGGTGCTTACTACTTTCTTGCATTTAAAAGAGGATCTTACCTGCTTCCCCCTTGCGCAAGCGTCACAAACTCTGTCTTCCTTGAACTTGATGTTAGGCAGCCCTATCACCGGATCCTTGGAAACTAATTTGTTGAGTTGACTCAGACTTGCATGTCCAAGTCTCTTGTGCCAAAGGAGGGGATCATTGTCCGACACACTTAAGCAAGTGAGTTTATTTTCTGAAAGTGTGGACAAATCTACAATGTATGTATTGTTTACTCTTTTTCCCTGCAAAACAATCTTGTCAGTGGTAAGATTAATCATAAAACATTTGGTAGAGGTGAATGCTACCAAGTTATCTCTATCACATAATTGTGATACACTGATTAGACTGTACTTTAGGCCATCTATCAAGTAGACATTCTCAATAGAGTGAGAATCAGTCTTACCTACCTTTCCAACCCTAATGATCTCACCTTTCTTCCCATTTTCAAAGGAGACATTACCTCCTTTGAGGTCCTCAAGTAAAAGGAACTGGTTCTTGCTTCCTGTCGTATGCTTTGAACAGCCACTAACCATGTACTACATTTGGATGCTCCTCTTCACTTGGACCCGCAAAAAGAAATCAGGGGTTAGTCTTAGGAACCTAAACTAGTTTGGGTCCCTTTCTATAGGCAAAAAGGTGAATCAGATTCTTTTCAGCCCAACCTGGCAGCCTATTCTTCCCTTGAACAAATTCTTTATTCTTTTGACTAGCCTTTTCTTTTGCAATACATTCACTTTTATAGTGACCAGTTTTACCACAGTGTGTGCAAACTATGTTCTTAAGAAGCGTAAGGTACTTGCTTTGGGATCCCACTTAGGTGCAGGGGTCCCATAGCCAAGTCCTCTCTTATTGCTACTATGGTGTTCATGTAGCCATGAAAGTGCATCGGAGGACCTATTCCATTTACAGGTTCTTCCTAGCTCATGCTTAACCTTGTTTAGGTCCTCCGTAAGGACTTTTATCTGCTCATCTCTTTTGTACAACTCATCTTTCATTTTTCCTACATTTTCTTCTAAAGTGAGTTGTGTGTGATCAGTTTTCTTTTTACCAGTTCCTAATTTTAATTTTAGATTTTCATCTAGGATAGTGGTGTCAAGTTCATGAACCTGGTTCTTTAGCTCAACATTTTTACTCTCACTTTCACTGCCCTAAGTTCCAGATTTTTGCACTTAGCTTTCGAAATCACACACTTCTTAGATAGTTGTTCCTTTTCATTGTTTAGATCCTCAGATTCATCAATGAAATCCAGGAGTAGCTCAGATAGCCTTTCTTTAGATAAAAATTTAATCTTGTCTTTTAGATGAATTATACTTACCTCATATTCCTCATCAGATTCTCCAGTTGCCATAAGTGCTTGTTCATCTCCATCTTCACCCTCTGAGTCCTCATCTAAGCTTTCTCCCCAGGCAGCAACTATAGCCTTTATTGATCCTTTGTTCTTCTTGGGTTGAACCTGTTCCTTCTTCCCGTTCCTTCGTTCAACTCTTTCCTTATTCCATTCAATTTCCCATTGAGGGCAGTTTTTGATGTGGTGATCAGTCTTTCCACACTTATAACACCCCTCATTGGTTTGTTTTTCAAGAACCTTTGGTTTGCTGTAGCTTCCACTTCTTGACGAACCCTTTCATGTCATTAGGTACTTATTGAAGTCCACTGTGATCATGGTCATTTCATCCTCCTCCAGATCAGCACCTTCAGTGATTCTGAATGCCAGACTCCTTTCCTTCTTGGGTGCATCCATCTTCATGGTTTGCCTTCTAAGTTCGTAGGTAGTGAGATTTCCAATTAGCTCATCCAACTTAAGAGTGGCAATGTTCTTTGATTCCTGAGTAGCAGTGATTTTGCTTTTCCAAGAGACTGGCAGAACCCTTGTCAAAATCTTCTCAACTTTGTCTTCTTCAAGAATAACCCTTCCAAGAGACTTATGTTCATTTGTCAGTGTGGTGAAACTTGTATACATCTCATGGATGGTTTCCCCATCCTTCATGGTGAAATTCTCATATCGAGAATACAGCAGTGTTCCTCCGATGATGTGATCTCTCATCCTGTTTTTCCACCAAGAGTAGTACTGGTCATTAAAGAGTGGAGGCCTATCAATGGATTTCCCTTCCTAGTTTTCAGGTGGTGCGCTCATCTTGATCTGTTCCTAAGGTGTTAGCCTCTTCAAGGTTAACCTTCTCTAATACCAATTAATGTTTTATACTTCAATACCACGCAAGAGGGGAGTGATTTGTGTGGTAACCAATTTTACGCTAAAACTGATTGTGGAATGACCTGGTTCTTCTATGTGTTCCTTCTGCTACTGTTGTAGAATAATAAATGTAGAAAGTAAAGAACACAAGTATTTTTACGTGAAAAACACCCGGCTTAAAAGGTGAAAAACTCACGACCTACTACTCAGTAGGATTTTCCCCAACACTTCACTAAATCACTGAGCAAAAACAGCATTTACAAAACTCTATGTAAACCTAAGGATTACCTTTAATCCCGTTGTATCACACAACCTCTAACTGTTGCGACAACTTCAAGTTAACTTTGCCTCTAGATAAAGCTGAAGGGTACAATATAAAATACCTACTACAATTGAACTAGAAATAAAGAAAGACACATAAAACTCTTTATGGAGTTGGTTCTTCAATCTGGCTAATGTATCTTCAGGTTTGCACACTTGAATCACACATGAACTGCTTGCAAAAAGCCTTGTTATTTTGCTCTCAATTCACGTTTAACTTTTGCGTTTTTGTGCAACACATGTAATGTGAGAACATCCAGCAATTTATAGAGTCAGTAGATGAAGAAATAACTAGAGTTCTGATGACTCTTCCTCGGTGGAAGAGTTCTAGTTGATCTCAACTTCTAACTCCTTCCCTATCTTGGATAATATTCTCTTTGAGTAAGGAGTCCTTATCCTTATCAATTATGCAACCTTTTCGATCAGGAGATATTAAATACACCAAGTTAAGCTTATCTCTTCCACGTGCATCCCACATGCTTGAATTTGCCCATTTTTGTGCACCTGAGGAATGGACCTGGTTCATGCCTGAGTTCCTTTATTAGTCTTCAAAACTAACCATTACTTATGGAGCCTTTACTTTGGCCAACATCCAAGTTGTCTCCCTTATAAGCGCTCACCGGGTCTTTGCACATTATTCCAAAATATTTTATCTTCTCAGTCATGTTCTCCTGAGGACAAATTCTAGTAGCATACTGATTAGTAGCTGGCCAGGTGACAGTCCCAACAACAGCTGCCATGGAGGAAGAGTTATCTTCATTGGGATGATTAACACCCACTCCCTTTAACATGATACTCTCACCTTTAAAATAAGGTAATTTATCCATTAATTCCAGTTACTACCTCCGAGTTTCACCTTATTCTTTAGGCAAAGGTCAATACTCATTGTGGTGAATCTTCGAGTAATCAAGCAGCACTGGGTTACTACACCTATGCTTGTCTCAGAGATGTATTTGATATACTTGTACCCCTCGTCCTTTATTGGCAAGACACACAATATCAACTACAGTGAAGCACCACTAACCACATCTTTGAGTAGTTTTTCCACCTTGCTAAATGAAGGCAGGTCATTCATGTCAGCGGGATATATTCTGATGGGGTCATTCATGGTCATCCCTAACCATGTGGACTTCTCTTTCAATTCTGAGACAAGTTCACGACATCTTAGCTCTTGGGAGGTAAAATCTATCAAAACCCACTGTTTAAGAGACCTTCCTTCCACCACAAAATTCTTATCAAAGTTCCACTTGCACTTGTTACTTACACGTACTCCGCTCTGACCTCCTAGCTTCAGATCAGGAGCTGGAAGCACACGAACCAAAACATGGATCATGTCCCTACTAACTTTAATTTCAAAATTACGGGTGGCATTTTTGGGGTCCATCCCCATCTACCAAAAGCCCAAGTCGCCAAATTGGGCTTGGACTTGGATGCCAAATGTTCGGAGGAAGGAAAAAAAATTTGTGTTGCAAATTTTCAACCAATCATCCATTCTGATTGGTTGAGAAGGTAAGCCATTTCTCCTATAAAAGGAGAGCTTCGGCTTCTTCATTCTACACACCAAAAATCTCAGACAATACATCTGAGTGAGAGAGGGAGCAATGTATTCCATAGACTACAAGAAAATAGTTTGTGAAGAAAAATAGAGTGTGAGAGATATTGTAGTGAGGTGGAAAAAGCAAAAGAGTATTTTTTCTTTTTAGGGTGTAGTGGTCTTAGGAGTATTTGTACTCGTTACTACACAATGTAAAATTCCTTGTTATAGTGACATCAGTCGCTCTTCTTGGCCGTGCTTTTTCCCATATTCAGAAGGGTTTCTGATAGATCTTAAATGCTCCTGCGTCTTGCCTGATGTTTTGATGATCTAACAAACTTACTGCTAAGAACCAAATAAGGAATCGGATCTACGTGGATTGCTGCAAGCGTTTACGGATTTCAGCTAAAGATGAATTGCTAGCTTCAGGAGCTAGGAACCTAACAAGGACCTGATGCTCTTGTGATTTCTTCATAGCAGTACAAAGTCATTTGGATACAACTAGAAATGAAGTGACCGACGGTACTGTTTCTGCCGCACTGCACCACACTGCAGCCCGCTCATTCTCTAACCAAACAAAGTACTCACATCATTTCAAGTGATGTGATCAAGATGTACCAAATGGGCTTTATACAAAAACATCACTGGAAGGTTTCTGTTTCTTATTCAAGCCTCGAGCAAAAAACAGAAAAATCATCCTCTCAAGCTTGAAGAACAAGGTTGAACGCCACTATGGACCAGTTCCTAAAAGATTGATTGTTGCTGTCCTAGTTGAGTTGTAACCTTGTTATTGTACTTAATATATCTCCTAAATCGCTTACTAAGAAGCATACTAATAAGGAATTCTCTTGTAAATCCGTAAACTCGTTGAGTTTATTTGTGACTAGATTTAGTCATAAGGAAAAGTCTTTGTAATCGTAGAGTTACAAAGTGGCTTGTGGTGATGACTATGAAGAAAAATAGCGAAATAAGGATTAGTGTGTGCGGTGGGTTCAATAAAAAAAAGCCACGTAGAGTTTATACTAAAATGACTAGAATAACCCTAACTTACTTTTATTGCCATGAAGTAACCAAGGTCGAAACTCTGGCTCTTCTAATATATAGAAGGTTATGGCCCGTGCTGGAAATTGTCATTATTTCAGAATTAAAAGAACCTAACAGAACACCAAGAGCACAGATATGACCTGAAGATTTCAAATGCAATCATGGATTAATCATCATAGATTAAGCTAAGAATTTTAACCATCAAAGAAATATAAACAAACAGTTAGAGCAAACGACAGTGAATTTTCATTGATGATGATATAGATCTACCACAAAAGCATAAGAAGAAATAAAATATTGGAAACATGAGCAAAAACAACAAAAATTCCCGAACTGGGTCACTTGTTGATCTACACTAGGCTAGGAGGCTTAAGGCTGCGAAGAACTAAGGTGCTTGGTTTTTGGACTTGGAGGAGTTTCAGGCATACCTGAAGAATGCATTATTCTTCTCTTTTTCTCTTGCCAGCTCAGTTCTGAGAGCATCTCTCTTAGCCTCCACCTCAACTAACATCTTCTTCAACCTTTCAATCTCAACATCCTCAGCCCCACTTTCTTGCACCAAGGCTCTGACCTTGCTATTTACTGGTACCTTTTGGATGAACTAGGTTCTTCAGGAGTGACATTACCTTCATAATCACAAGCAAGCAAGTATTAACCCAAAAATGATCCATGCTTGTAATAACCTCCCATGTTTTCATAGGTACTTTAAAATGTGCAAGCACCGTAGTGAGATGAAGCCATAGGGAATGGTGTGAGTTTGGTGCCATTGATAACTCTATCAAGAAGCTGGATTATAGCTTTTAGTCACTTTCTTCAGCAGCCTGCGAGGGTTTCCTCTACCGAATAACCGGTTCATCTCCCCAAACAACCATTGCACCTGCGTCTTTGGTTAAACTCACAGGAGTGGGATGAAGAATCAGCCACTCTTGTCCCCTTTCCCCTTACAGTACTTCTAGCACCCTTTGCTCTCCTTTGTTTTTAACACCAACTTCTCCAGATTCTGTAGTCTCAACACCTGCTATAGATCCTAAAATCTTCTCCAATTTTGCAGCAACTTTAGAAATTGTCTCAGGAGAAACTTTAGAATCAGAAGATACCTGTTTAATTTCGGAAGAACCACTTTCTTCCCCTGAGTAGCAAACTTAAAAAGAATTAGGTAGTTTTAATACGGTCAGGAGTCTTGAACTAACTGGTTCACTTGTAATGGATAAGTTCAAAAGAGATTTGGTATTTGGTAGGACTGCTCATGATCCAAATATAGTTATTTTCGATTATGCAGAGGTGTAGAAAACATACCTTGTTATCTTGATGAACCAGGTTCCTTCACTGATTATTCTCTTGTGTAAGTCTAAATTTGCCAAAATAGAGAAAATATCATTAGAGATTAATGAGTCATTTAACACATGGAACAAGAGTATACTATGGAAGTATGAGACTGAGCAAGATTTAATCTATTATACACCAATTTACAGACTTTCTAACCAAAAAAATTTCAATTTTTTTTCATTTTTCTCGTTTAACTTGAAACTGGTCCTTTTAGGTGATCTTAATCATTCATAATTCCAACCCGTTCCTCTCAAATTGATCTCTACTTAAGGTTTTGTGAAGATGTTTAGCAATTTTCTTGTCAGTAGCCACAAAACTCCACAGTGTCAAGCCTTTCTCGTAGTTGTCCTCAAAAAATGGTGCCTAAAATCTATGTGCTTAGTTCTCTTATGATGGAACCGGGTTCTTTTTCATACTAATAGCACTAGTGTTATCAACAAAAAATAGGGATGCAAACAACATCAATTCCAAAGTTCAATAATTGTTTTTTTGATCCACAGCAATTGAGTACAACATGAAGCAGCAACAATATACTCCGCTTCAGCAGTAGATAAGGCCACCTGAATTTTATTTTTTGATAGCCCATGACACAAGACATGAACCAAGAAGTGTGCCATACCTGAGGTGCTCTTCCTATCCACAAGAAAACCTGCATAATCAGTGTTAGCATATCCTACTAGGTTAAAATTACTACCTTTTGGATACCAAAGGCAAAGGTCAGTGGTGCCTTCAAGTATCTCATATCTCTTTACAGTAGTCAAGTGGGACTCCTTTGGATTTGCCTGAAATCGAGCACAAAGGCCTACACATACACACAATGTCAGGTCTGCTAGCAGTGAGATATAAAAGAGAACCAATCATCCCCTATACAACTTCTGATCAACAGATGAACAGGTTCATCTATATCCAATTTCGTGGATGTTTGCCATAGGAGTGTCAATTTCTTTGGATGTTCCTTCCTGGTTTTGTACTGAGAAATAGGTTCATGGATAGGTTCCTTCGAGGTTTGATGATCAGTTCCTCTCTATGTCAGTTCCCCGTTTCATGTTGCCCTGGGTGGAAGGACCTGTTCCGTCACTTGTTCCCTCCCGCGAGTGCATCTTCAGGATGGACTGTGGTTTCACCAGTTTTAAATTTCTTATCAAGCCCAATCTCTTCCATTATTCTTTTCCTGCCTCTCAGAAAGAATTTGTTTTTAAAAAAAATACCTATGCACTTTTTATTACACACACAGTTCTTATACTGTATATCTTGTAAGCTTTACTATGTGAAGAATATCCCAAGAATACTCCCTCATCACTTATGGGATCAAACTTTCTTAGGGAATATTTATCATCATTGCGAACAAAGTACTTGTATCTAAATACCCTAAGATGGGATATATATAGCTTTCTCTCTTTAAGTGACTCATAGGAAATCTTCTTAACAAAATTTAGTCATGCAACTATTTATGTTGTAGCATCAAAAATTCAGCCAACTTAGCATTTTCAAATTCAGTTCCATGGTCAGACCTATTGATGCAAGTTGATTACCTAGTTGTTTTTGAGTTTTTCTAACAAAAAAGAAAGCATGTCAAATGTTTCATCTTTAGATGTTAAAAATAATGTTCAAGTAAACCTAGAGTAATCATTTAACAAGCGCCATCACATATTTTCTACCACCTCTGCTTAATGTTCTCATTGGACCACAAAAGATCCATATGGACCATTCCATCGTTCTGGTGTGCTTACTACTTTCTTGCATTTAAAAGAGGATCTTACCTGCTTTCCCCCTTGCGCAAGCGTCACAAACTCTGTCTTCCTTGAACTTGATGTTAGGCAGCCCTATCACCGGATCCTTGGAAACTAATTTGTTGAGTTGACTCAGCTTGCATGTTCCAAAGTCTCTTGTGCCAAAGGAGGGATCATTGTCCGACACACTTAA